CTTCCCCATTACCCCTCCCTTTTCTCATTTTCCTTCCCTTTCTTTCTCCATTGTCTTCCTCCTCTCCTCCTTCCCCTTCTACCCAGCTCTTCCATCATTCCTTTCTACCTTCTCCCTTTCCTATTCTGTCAAGAGAGCAAGAATCGATAGCTAGGCATGCTGGGTTGAACTATAGTACTTCCAAATGCATAATCTTGAACATGTAAAAGTACTCAGCCTCATTTGCTTCAGTGTTCCAATCTGTGAAATGGTGACACAAATGGTATCCATGTTAAGGTGCTGTTCACTATCATCCCATTGGTCGCTGAATTGCTCGAGTGGGTGTCAGTAATGTCTCTATTCCTCCCAGCCCTGAGATTTCAGCAGCCTCTTCTTAATCGCCTTTTCCCAATGATTGGAGGCTCTTTCAGGGTCAGGGGACGGTCACGGTCCTCCCGTTGTTCATCGATTTGCTCAAGCGGGCCCAGTAACATCTCCATCGTGAGACTTGTTGTTACTGTGTTTGGCATATCGAATACGTCACGGGTAGCTTGCCAGGCTTTGCCGTGTGGGCGAGATACTTGAGACCTAATAAATTCTGGGTTAATACTCAGGCTGGAGCGATAGCACAGCGGGTAGGGCGTCTGCCTTGCACGCAGCCAACATAGCCGACCCGAGTTCGATTCCTCCGCCCCTCTCGGAGAGCCCGGCAAGCTACCGAGAGTATTCGATATGCCAGACACAGTAACAACAAAGTCTCCAATGGAGACGTTACTGGGCCCGCTCGAGCAAATCGATGATCAACGGGAGGGCCTTTACTTTACTTTTACTTTTAAAACAAAAACATCTTGAATGGTGCCTAGTATATTACTTATTAGCCTGCGTGCTTTTGTCATTTAAATGTCAATCCTAGTAATATTTCACAAATTATTTCTTAACTTTTTTCAACCTTTAATGATCACAAAACCACACACTGATGAGACTCATTTCCCTAGGAATGTAAATGAAGGGGAGCAAAGCAACCTTTTATGATTAATTTGCAATTATTTTATTTTGGGGAGGTGGGTCACACAGTGGTACTTGGGGCCCACCTCATGTGAGTCACACCCCTGGCAGTGCATAGGGGACCATGCAGGACTAGAGATTGAATCTTGGGCTCCTGCATGAAAAGCTCTCTCCCAGGCCCTAAATTATCAATTTATTGTTTTTGAAGAGTAATGTACAGGGAGAATTTATTAACTTGTAATATGTGCATCCCAAATTGATTATTCATAATACCTCAATCCTAGTTAACCATAGGAAGTTCAGAGGGATTTACGGTAGTAATCGCATTATTTGCCTGTATGAGACAGCTGCAGGGTTTGAAAATCTTCTGCTTTTTCTTAGGGCCAAGTCATTTTATCACGCTATTGTGAATTTACAAAAAAAGGGTAAAAGTTTGGAATATATAAAAATATATATATATATATTTTGGGCTGGAGCGATAGCACAGCGGGTAGGGCGTTCGCCTTACAAGCGGCCAACATGGCCGACCCGAGTTCGATTCCTCCGCCCCTCTCGGAGAGCCCGGCAAGCTACCGAGAGTATTCGATATGCCAGACACAGTAACAACAAAGTCTCCAATGGAGACATTACTGGGCCCGCTCGAGCAAATCGACGATCAACGGGAGGGCCTTTACTTTTTACTTTTTTATATATATTTTATATATATGGAGATAAGATATGCCACAGTGGGTAGGGTGTTTACCGTGCACGTGGCCGACCCAGGTTCAATTCCTCCGTCCCTATCAGAGAGCCTGATAAGTTACCGAGAGTATCCTGTCCACACGGCAGAGCCTGGCAAGCGGCCCATGGGGAATTCAATATACCAAAAACAGTAACAAATCCACAATGGAGACGTTACTGTTGCCTGCTTTAGCAAACTGATGAACAATAGGAGGACAGTGCTACAGTGCAACATATAAATATATATATAAAATTTATATGTATACATATACAAATACATATACATATTATATAAAACTAAGAAAACCCCACAGGTATAAGTAGACTGTGATGAAAATTATGTCTGAATAACATTAAAAGCCTAAGTTAACCACCTTCATTACTATATTATCCTCTGCTTCCATTTTAAAATAAAAGCCAAAATAATTTTAGGTGTAAAATAGTTCATAAAGTGAAAGTGGAAGTATTTTAAAATGCAGTGATTTGCTTCTTTTTAAGTTTCTGCTTAAGCCTGTATATGCCATCATACCAATATCATATTAAGAATCCTTTGCTTGTGTTGGTAGGATCCTCCCAGGATGGGAGAAGCATGTTGAAAGTAGACCATAGACCAAACATGATTGCCACTCAATGCCTCTTTTGCAAACCACAACACCCAAAAGAAGAGATAGAACAAAGGGGAATGCCCTGCCACAGAGGCAGAGTGGGATGGGGGTGGGGAGTGGGGGGTGGGAGGGATACTGGGATCATTGGTGGTGGAGAATAGGCACTGGTGGAGGGATGGGTATTTGATCATTGTATAATTGAAACCCAAGCACAAAAATGTGTAAGTCTACAACTGTACCTCATGGTGTTTCACTAATAAAAATTAAAAAAAAAAAAAAAAGAACCCTGGTCTTTTGAAAGCACTTATGACATACATGAGCGCTCTAGGTTCGCTTACTAAAATGACAAATTATATACCCTTCTATAGAAGATTTTGAGAAAATGGTTGTTTACGAAAATGAAGAAAATAAAGATAAACGAAACACAGGCCAGGAAAAACACTGCTGCTAAGTTTACATTTACCATCTGACTTGGCTCTCTGGTACCACCAAGTGACTATATGCCAGTTGATACAAAGTTAGGGGGCCTTCCAAGAAGCCATTTTAAAGGAAAGAAATCTATTTTTTTTCTCAGCTTTTCTTCCTTCCTATAGCCCTAAAAGCTGATATAATGGGTGGATTTTCAGTAGCTATTCTGACCAAGGAGAAGAAGCCAGAGGCTAAGGGTTATGACAAAGAATTCAAGCCGTCAGGATTCTGACTAAATCCTGAGGCCATGATACTTCAGGACTGCTGCCTCTGCTCTCATTTACAAGACACAGCTACCCAACACACACACACACACACACACACACACACACACACACACACACACACACACACCAAATTCCTATTTTCTAAAAAGCTACTTTTGAAAGATTAGCATATAGTACATAAAAGCTCTGTTTGCTCTAAATCCCAGTGCAAATGATTACCTGGTGCTCTATGCTGCCCAAACCTAATCCTATTTCAAATCCTAAACCTATGATGCAGAATTAAGGATCAGCCCAAACTTCTAATGGTGAATGAAGCACTAAAATGGAGGATAATTTAGCATCCAAGCTAACTGTAATCAAGTAGCACCATTGGATGTTTCCCTCTCCCCTACCTCCTCCAATCCATAAACAAATATAAGAAAATGAAGTCCTATTAAAAAAATTTGTTTTTGAAAAATAACACGTAACACATAGAATCTAATCCACATAAAAGTATCTAACCCTTGCTTTGAAGCAAAGCCCCAAGTATTTTTATTGTGTGTTTGTGATCTAACCTCTTTGTAGCTGTCCTATCCCTTCTGGCATCCTTTCATTCTTAGTCTCTGTATCTGATGAATACTTGTTGACAAAGCAGGTCGGCAGGTACCAGAGAGAACCGTGAATGTGATCATACTCACCCATAGCCATTGGGGATATTATGGCTCATAGAGACAGATAAGCAACAGCTCCTGGTACTTTCAGAGTAATTCAATTAGAAATTATGATACACACGGGATGACAGCTCCACTCCAGGGAGGGAGTGATTGTTTCAAAGTGACAGCAGTGCAGGGCAGGGGTGTGACTGGAGCAGAGAAGAGTGGACTGTGCGGCAGGTAATCAAGGTGAATTCTGTGAGCCCTGGTTCGGGTCCTGATCTGGAAAGTCACAATCCACTATCTTTTTGAAACCAGTGGGCCATTTCTTCTCAAACTTTCTCCAACTTCTCAATGACCAGCAAAGAATAAATTCAAACTAATCAGCAATGACAACATACAAATCACATTCTCTCCTTCCCCCAGACTCTGGTATGAGTCCTTTTATGTGGGAATTCTTTAAAAGAAATGACACTTTGGACCTGTTGTACTTACCACGGGTATATTCTCTTTAGTTCTGTTTCACATACTATGTTTTGGGACTCTTTCAACTCTTTTCACACTGAAATTCCATCTCCAAACTGACTGTCTACAGCTGGGATGGGAACTGTTCTTCGTTCAAGGGCCATTTTAATGTTTATGACAGTAATAGACTGGGCTATGGGCAGCTGACAAGCATACAAGTCCATCCTATCATGTACAGGAGCCAGAGAACAGGATTTCATGGGTAGACATTTCCATATCTCACCTATAGACATACCTTGTTTTATTGTATATGTGTGTGTGTACAAGTATTTACTTCATCTTATACACTTCATTTTACAGATACTGAGTTTTAAAAAAATATTGAAGACTTATGATAATTTTGCATTAACCAAGTCTGATGTGTGACTTCTGATCCCCATGACACAATTAAGTACACTGTTTTTTGCAGACAAATGGTATTGCATGCTTATCAAAAATCAGTGTGGTATGAACAACTACTTTGTGCACTAAGATATCAAAAAGTGTGAATCGGTAGCTTTACTGAGATACTCACTTTACCGGAGCAGATTTGATGCTAACTCTCATCTAGTCTGTAATCCCAAACATTACTATTTTTTTCTCCCCATACCTATAGTGGCCATCCAAATGTGAGTCAGGTAGGAATTTTATGGATCAGCTAGCCCTGCCTTAAATTCAGAGCACTCTTAAAAAGTCAGAAGATTCTAAAGTGAGCCTGAAAGCACAGTAGTCTCCCAGAAACAATAATTCATAAAAGCAGCAATCACTTCAGGTTATACTACTCAGTTAGACTGCTCTCCTGAGATCAAGCTTTGGTTCGCTCCTGTAATGCTTATGCCAACTCAGCTGACACTTCATACCTGCCCAGCCAGTGTAAACAGTGCCATCCCGAGGGTCTGCTGACTTTAAGCCTCTCTCCATTTGCTGAATAAGCCCTCGAATCTTATCATTCAAGCGATGTGAAAACTCTGGAGTCAGCTGTAAACATTAAAGGGAAAACAAATGTTAAAAAATAAGGGCCACCAAACTTTTGTGACTATAGGCTATCTAAAATGAGGAATACTACATGTCTACTTAGGCTACATTTTTCTATCTGGGAGACTTGGACAATTATTTTCTTCCTAAACAGTAAGAACAACAAATTAGAAAACTTATAAGTGCTACCATTGGATTTCCAACTTAAACAATTATTTTTGTTGTAATTTCAATATCCTAATACAAATTTCAATTAAATACTAAAATAGGCCAGCAGAAATAAACTGGCACATAGATATTTCCAAATATGAGTTCATTTATAATTTATATCAATATTTTTTATTATGCTAAAATTCATTCTATCAACTAAGCACATAATAAGATGTTGGCTATTTTTAATCCCATGAATTATTAGTCTTCAAGCAGTAGCAATATACACTCCTTAAAGAAATACTGTTCTTTGCTGTTAGGGAAAAAACTAATTATTTTTCTTTTTTGCTTATAAAAGTAGTATATGAAAAACATAATAAATCCTGGGCATCAGGAGTCTCAACTGGTAAAAAGAATATTAAATGTTGTGTTAAAAAGCCTACAACCAGCACAGTGCCCTGCAAAGAAACTTAATATACACAGCAGCCTTAAGCATGAGCCTATTACATCTTTATCTGCTATCAGCTGAATGATCTTCCTCAATTCCTCTGAAAAACCAGGATACTAATAGCCCACCCCACCAATTTCAAAAGGCACTCTGAAGATCAAATGAGATCTCCTGTTACAAGTTTTTCACATTCAGGGATATAAATGCTAATATTTCCTATTATTCTGAAAGCCTAAGAGTTTACAATCAGTACTGATGTGGTTATGGATTGAAAGTATACTACGGTTCTGGGATGGTGTCATTGGGATCCAGAGACACTGGACAAACAATAAGGCCCACACGCTTAATTCTCCAAAAAAGCACGTGAACAGGTGAACAGGGTTTTTTTTTTTTTAGTTTGTTTTTTTCTTATAGTGCCAATTACTGAACTGAACCATTTCACTCATACAAGGCATGACTCTACCACTGAGCCACATCTCTGCTCCCCCTAGATATGTGTAAAGTTCTTATGCACTGGAATCAACGACTGTCTTAAAAGATCACTGTAATAAATCCCTCACTAATATCAGGAATCTGCTGTGAATTTGCTATTCCAAAGCAGTGAGATTTCAAGTTAATGCTTGGACATCTTACAAGGTGATGACAATGTACTTCACAATGAGAACTCTGGGTTGGTTAAGGGCAAAAATGGCATCCTTGCCAGTATGACGCTCTGAGTTCCATCCCCAGTGTTACCCACACGCGTTTATCCTGGGGAACCTGCTGTTTGGGAGTCTCTATGCTACGACAGAGTGCGTGACTGCCCAGGCATAGCAGCTGAACCTGGGTGACACTGCAATTGCAGTGTGTCTGACCTCCAGTAGGCATGCGTGTGAGCAAACTACAAAGAGCAACTATAAGATTTCTAGTGAGGACTTGGGACAAACAAGTCTCTGCCACAGTGCTCACTGGGAATCACACAGTTTAGCTGGCATGCTTGTCCTGATGAGGAACTTTCTAGTCATACTTCATAGTTGTGCTCACATCAACGATCATTGGGGGTCATACACACTGCAACTAGTTATGTGATCCCCTACTAGCACATACCAACCAGGTATGTGCAAATTGCCCACCATTCCAACAACATTAAAGGAAAGGAAAGGGAAATGCATTCTCTTTACCTTCTAAAAAATAAAAAGGACATTTTAACACTTAAAAAAAGACAGTGCCAAAATTATTACTGATAATAATAAAGGAGATTGAGTTTTAGTCCTGAATAGCATATCTGATACGGCAAATGAGACTCTAAACTCTATTTGGATCATTTGTTCCTAAGCATCACTACCTTCTTCACACTGAAGAAACCCTTGTTCAATGCACACACTCCATTCAACAATTTCTGTCAAGAGGTTAAGACTTCCACAGTCTTGAAATGATATTGAGTAAAATATACTTCAATATTATTACAAATGGTCTATACATCTCAACTCGAGAGAAAAGTATAATTCTGTGAGAATAGATCATCAGTTCACAGATCATATGTAATTTATCATCTTGCCTGGCCTTTAAGAAGAGACCAAGTCCAATGAAAGAACCTCTGCCCCAGGAGGGAAAGATGCTTTCAATTTGGCATACACTGCATTTAATAAAGGTGACCTGCCTGAAAATATCGATTACTTATGGCAAACCACAAAGATTATTCAAACTCTAGCAAGAACCTGAAGAAGCTGTAACAGCATGTGCCAGAAAAACTGGCCGAGTCCTTACTGAGAGTTTCGAGGTAATAAATTAAGAACAGGTCTCTGAGGTCTGATTATGCAATAATTAGCACTTAAAAAAAATTCCAATATGCTAGCTTCTTTCTGGGAGCTGTCCAAAAATCATGTGGTTTGCAATAAGTTACATTAATATTTGGGTGGGATATACCACCCTTAGATATGAGTTAAATATGCTGAAACATATAATTTAGAAATAAACTAAAAGTGAGTTATTCCTCCTTAATGGTTTCTGCTGTTAGGATGATACATCTTCAGGTCTTCTCTATGCCAAGTTAGCGTGACATGGCATGTCTTCCTCTAATAGGAGGAGACAAATACTTTGGCGTCAGAATCTGAGGAGCTAGACAGAATACTGGTCCAAATGGCCAAAAGCAAGTATGTCAGACTTTCAGATAATTATAAGCTTTGTTTGTGCTGCTCAGTTATGGTTTTAAAAGAATTAGAGTAACTCCAACACCAGCAACACTTTGGTAGCCTTCCTCCAACTCATTCATCATTTCTATCTGAGTTTCTGAGCCAAGTTCATCTATAATGAGAAGAGTCCTAAGGAAAAACCCAATGAAGTGACATACAGTTAACTTGGCAGGTATGAAACTTCTAGGCCATGAAAAACTTTCACAAGACTGGAGAGTCAAAAAGAAATAAATTGGTAAAAAATAAAATAAAACAAAATAAATGTAAGAATGTGTATGTGTGCACTTAAAGAGATGATTTCCAAATTAGCTCACAGGTAGAGAATTCCTAACTAGCCATTCTTACAGGACTGTATGCCCTCATAACAATCCCCTCATGCTAAGAGGCAAGAGAAAATACGGGATTCTAGAATTTTATATCCAGAGTTTCTTTTGCAGAGGCTTGTGAGGTGCTATCAGTCAGAACCCCTGATCCCCAGTTGGGGGATGTCTATGCGGGAGAGGTCATATGACAAAGAGTGTCAGGGTGATGTCCCAAATTTCACTTAGCACCATCAGTTGAGTGGTGGCCTTTCTAGCTCATTTGCATCATTATCCTGCCCAGACTCATGTACAAACGTAAATAGGGTAACTGGGCACATTTGAAAACAACTTGCCTTTTTCAAAAGCAAAGCTAAATGCATCACCAATGCCAACTTCAAGGTAAAAGGCATTATCTGCTCATTATGCAATGACAGAAATTCTCACCATGACAACGAACAGCAGTAATAACAACAACGGCTTCTTTATGGAAATACATGGTGATAGAAGCCAGACTGTACATTTTTTAAGAGGGATCTTACGTAAGGACAATATACCTCATGTATCCAGCCTTAACTTCGACATGTTTCTTAAAGAGAGTGGTCATCCTTTTCAGCAAAAAACAACCACCCCTCCCCACCATCCCCCCCAAGCACCGAGCCTCCTTTCTGCACGCCGCAGGTTGGTGGTTAGGGATGCAGGGGACAGATGCTAAACTCACCCTCCCGGCAGTATCAAAGTAGCTCTCGGCCAGGGATTTGTTAAAATCGGGATAAGGATTCGGGAAGGCCCTTTGAGCCATGGCGTCGGAAACGAGCCTGCAGAACAGTGGGAAAAGAAAAGTTGGATTGACGTGGGGGCCGTGGCCGAGTGGCGAGCGCAGGGGCCACCGCCCCGACACCACCTTCCTTCCAGCTCCCGCTTCGCTGGACTGTCTCCGCGGTCTCAGTGGACCTCGGGCCCGCCGCAGACCGCTCGCCAAGGCCGGTAGGGCCCGGAACCCACCGCGATGAAGGGAACCCGTTTTGCACCCCACGCTCCCACTCCTGCGACTGAAGGAATCGCCGGTCCAGCGCCCCGGTAGCCCAGCCCAGCGCCCCGGCCTCTCACCCCCTGGACGACACAGAAGCAACGCTTTCACCGCCCACTTCCTGCCAGACGGACCAATCAGAACGCTCGCCGCTCTGGGCCCCGCCCCCTCTCACTTTCAGTTTGTTAAAGAGACAGGAGGATGATTTCTAACGGCTTGGAAAAGATGATTTTAATTCTTGACTTGCGGCAGGGGGGGACTCTATCTTAGAATAACGTGCAAGTGCGCCCAATATTGTCTCACCTCTCTTCCCCCTTGAAAGTTTTAGTTTAAAAAAAAATTCAAGTACAGGTAACTCATGAATTAGTTTTCTTTTTTTTTTTAAATCTGGAGTTTAAAAAAAAGGCTGTTGTGAGAGCTGTACTTGCCCCTAGTTCTGCTACTTTTAAATAAGATTGAAGAGGGCAGTGGTTTTTTTTTTCAGATTGGTCATTTCTTAAAAAGAAACAAAGCACGACAAAAAGAGAAGAAAGTGGCAAAAAGAAAAGAAAAGAAGGCCAGAGCTGGTAGTGTGGCCAATGCGGTTTCATCCTCCTAAATTAGTTCTCCATCACTGCTTGGAGAGATCCCTAGCACTGGGAGATGTGGCCCCCAAACAAACAAAAATAGAAAGAAAAGAAACCTGAACGCTTGTCCTTTGGAAATCATTTATGGTAATGAACTCCAGTCATGTGAGTGCCCAAGGCACAAGGCACCAAATGGCAATTGCTGAAATTTCAGGGAAAACACATGGAAAACATGTGCCAATAGAGTGGAACACCCATAACTTTCCATGTCAATGTAAACATTATTTAAACATCCTCAATGATGTGAAAATACATTTCCATAGAAAACAAAGCTCACCTGCTACACATTAGACCCATTCTGTTGCTAAGATTTTGGTGGTCTATTAAAAAAATCAGAGTCCCTTGGCTCTTTTCACTCTTCTTTCAAAGGACCTTACCCACAATCCTTCATGGATTGAAGACGGTTTCCTAGGCCCCACGGTCCAAGTTGGGACTAAGTTTGTCCTTTCTCGACCACCGTCCACATTCCCTCCACTATTCCTTGTGGGTCTATCTGTGCTTTTAATAACTGTACCTGTCCTTGAACTTTAGGTTACTCCTTTCCTAAACTCTGAAGTTTGTAGGAAAGGCAAGGTATCAACTCTTTCTTTGAATTTCGAAGGCTTAATCTTTATCACACTCGGCCCCTTTTTGATATTTGAGTAGATTCAGAGGGAGACATCTGCTGTGTCTCCTATGACTGGCAGGCGGAATGGAAAGATGGGAAAGGAAGATGGGAAGAGAATTTGGAGAGAGGGAAGTTTAGTTTGAAGGACAGTTTCTCAACATTGAAAGTGGTAAATGGATACTGTAGTCATAGTGTAGGGAGTCTCAATTTCAGTACTATGGACATTTTGGAAAGAAAGCTGATTTTTTTTTTGAAGAGGAGGAGGAAGTGGCAGTGGGGTGGGGTGCTATTTTGTTCACTGTGTACTTCGCTTAGATCATAGAGAGAAATATATAAATATATGCCTCTCAGAGAGCCCAGCAAGCTACCGGGAGTATCCCGCCTGCAGAGGCAGAGACTGGCAAGCTACCCATGGTGTATTTGATAAGCCAAAAACCAGTAATGACAACAGGTCTCTTTCCCCTGACCCTGAAAGGGACTCCAGTTGTTGGAAAAGACAGTAAGAAGAGGCTGCTAAAACCGCAGGGCTGGGAGAAATAGAGACGTTGCTGGTGCCAGCTGTAGTAAATCTACTAACAAAGGGATGACTGTGATACAGTGATACAGTGTAGTTTGCTTAATGGCATGCGTGATTCTTGCCAGCACCACCTTCTCCCAAGTAATGAGAATAAAAAATATCTCTTGCTCTTTTCTTTTATATACTTATTGTTTTATTTTTGGATCACATCCAGCGATGCTCAGGACTTACTCCTGGCAGGGCTCTGGCTCCCTTACGGGGTGCTGGGGTTCAATCCCAGTCAGCAGCATGCAATGCCCGTGCCCTCCCCACCCACTGTACTATGTCTCCAGCCTTTTAGTAATTTTCAAATAAAAGCTAAAGCCAAGAATACCAATACTGGGATCAGTGGTGGTGGAGAATAGGCACTGGTGGAGGGATGGGTACTCGATCATTGTATAACTGAAACCCAAGCACAAAAATTTGTAAGTATACAACTGTACCTCATGGTGTTTCACTAATAAAAATTTTAAAAAATATTCCTCACAATAAAGAGAAAAATAAAAAGCAATAGTCCAATGGGTATTAGTCCAAAAAAAAAAAAAAGAATACCAAGTACATGTTTTTAAATGGATATGGGTGTGAGTATTGAAGAGTATGTACCCTGAAGTGGATTGTTGGATCATAAGGCATTCTTCTAGTTAATTTTCCCAGTATATCAGATTACTCTATGTTGCTGTTATACTTGCTTATGTCCTAATAGTTTCTTTCACCTTCATTTGCTCTTCAGACAAGATCGGGTTCATTCAGGGTGTTATGGTCATAGGCTGCTCTTCAATGCTTGATACTATTTTGTGCAATTGATGCTTATTACTTCCTTTCTTCCTTCATTTAAAAATATTCTTTGTTTTTGGTGTATATCCATCTGTGCTTAGGGGTTGACTCATGGCTCTCTGCTCAGGGATCTCTCCTTGTGGGACTACATGTAGTATCAGAGATCAAACTGGGTTGACTGTAAACAAGGCAAGTGCCTTAACTTCTATATTATCTCTCCAGCCCCTTTGGTAGTGGTGGGATCTAATAATTTTGTTTATTAATACTGCAAATGTTAACACTATTATTAGCATGTTTTAAATCATAATAAAAATTATTAAAAGATACATTTTTATCCATTTCTATGGGACCAGAGGCAGTCTCCTGCCCCCGCGCCTGGCTATTCCTCGCTGGGGCCCCTTGGAGGGGAGCGGGTTGAGCTTTCCTCCCCGCCCTGGCCAGAGCCCCGGCAGCCGAAGACCTCCAGGACCAGCCACCACCATGCTGAGACCACTCTCCACACACCTGAAGGTACCGGCAGAGGGACAAAGCCACGTGGGTTCCGGGGCCGAGATCTCCAAGCCTACTCGGATTGGAGTTGAGCATTCTCCACCCAGATCCTCCAAATTCCAGTAGGCAGGGGTCACACCCACCAACTGGCCCCCTGGCACCGTGTAATCCCATCAGCGGCCAAGACTTTGAGACTATAAAAACCAGCTCCCGGAACCGCGCGGCCGCGAATGACATCTTATTATGACATCTCATTCCTACTTTGACAAACTGGCAGGCTACCGAATGTAGCCTGCCCACAGGGCAGAGTCTGACAAATTCCCCGTGGCGTACCCAATATGCCAAATACCAGTAACAATGATGGGTCTCATTCTCCTAAAGAGCCTTGACTATAATCTCAGGGCGAGGATGAAGGAGACGTTACTGGGGCCTGCTCGAGGCAATCGACGAATAACAGGATGATCTGTGATCTGTGATCTGTGATGGGACCAGAGCATAGTTATAATTAATAAGTTTGTTGATGTTGATTTCTCAAGGACCCTTCAACTTTTGGTAAAGTTGCAATATTATTGGAGGGGTGTTGGGCCACACCTAACAGTGTTCAGGGGTTATTCCTGGTTCTATGTCCAGGGGACTAAATGTGGTGTGTCAGTGATTTGATTTGTACCAGCCTCATGTAAGACAAGTGCCTTCATTTCTGTACTCTCTCTGACCCTCTGGAACATAGTTTTTGCAAAAAAAAAAATTTGTAACGTTTCTTCACTTGATTGATAAATATATTTCAGGTAAACTCTCTGAAATGATTATTAAATTACTGCCTTTAAGACAGACTACCTCTGGATATATGAAGTTTACATAAAGTTGGGGGGGGGGGCATATTCGATATGCCAGACACAGTAACAACAAAGTCTCCAATGGAGACGTTACTGGGCCCGCTCGAGCAAATCGATGATCAACGGGAGGGCCTTTACTTTACTTTACTTTACTTTACATAAAGTTGGAAAAATTCATTTGATGATTTTGTGTTTCATCCTCAAATGTGAATTTTATAGTATTATAATGTATATTAATGTGAATTAAAAAGAGCTGACAGTACCAAAAGGCTCAAAAATTGATAGAGGGGCCAGAGCCATAGTACAACAAGTAGAGTGTTTGTCTTACACATGGCTGACCCAGGTTCTATCTACAGCACCCCAAATGGTCTCTTGAGCATCACCCGGTAAGGCCCCAACCACTGCCAAAATAGATAAATAAAGTTTGTTATTTTCTTATCTAAGGTTAGTTTTACTCCATTGGCCAATCATGATCAAGAATCTCTTCTAGGTTTTTGTTCTTCTCTCCAAATGTTACCTTCATCTGCAAGACCTCTATGGTCATAGGCATACCAGTTTAAAAGACTGTCAGGGCACAGAAACACACATCTGGGAGCTGGAGCGATAGCACAGAGGGTAGGGTGTTTGCCTTGCATGAGGCCGACCCAGGCTCGATTCCCAGCATCCCTATGGTTCCCTGAGCACTGCCAGGAGTTATTCCTGAGTGCAGAGCCAGGAGTAACCCCTGTGTATCGCCAGGTGTGACCCAAAAAGCAAAAAAAACAAAAACAAAAAAAACCCCACCACATCCAAAAATTGCTTCAGCCTCAGATCAGGAAGCAGAATCCAATTTCCACACAAACTCCAGAAGTGAGATCTCAGTTCTGTGGCTACCTCTAGATGCAGAGGAGACTGTGAATCAAGTCTTTTGCTGAGCTGCTATAATGAAAGCAAGGAACAACAGATTGGTAGGTAGTGAGTGGTCTTGGTTACATAATACGAATTTAATAAGTGATACACATGTCTCTTATCACATAGACAATATACTTATGTTTCTGAGATGTGTCCATTGGTTCTGATTCCCTTGCAATCAGATCTTTTCCATTTCCTCTTACATATCTCATTGACCTTTACAGGGAGCTGGGTCACTGACTCAGTAGAAGATAAATCAAATAACTCCATATTCTTCTTTTTATTTTTCTAGAAAGTTCTCCCTCCTCCTTGGACAAAGGA